TGGGATGCATCGCTCCTGAGCTTGGAGGAGGTGATCCTTGACTATTACCCAGCTTTCTTGGGCCCCTCTTCCCTCCAGGGCTTTGTCCCATGCCACTCTGACCAGCAGATCCCTGAAGAAGCCAAAGTCTGCTCTCCTGAAGTCCGGGGTAGTGAGCTTACTCTGCGCCCTCCTCGGTGCCCTAAGGATCTTGAACTCCACCATTTTGTGGTCACTCCAGCCAAGGCTGCCCTTAAGCTTCACATTCCTCACCAGTCCCTCCTTGTTGGTGAGAACAAGGTCCAGCATAGCACCTCTCCTCGTTGGCTCCTCTACCACTTGGAGAAGGAATTTATCATCGACGCATTCCAGGAACCACCAACAGATGTCCGGGTGGTTGAAGTCCCCCATGAGGACCAGGGCTTGTGAACGTGACGCTGCTCCCATCTGTCTATAGAGGGCCTCATCTGCTCGATCTTCCTGGTCAGGTGGCCTGTAGCAGACCCCCACTGTAATGTCACCCGCCCCTGCCCTCCCTTTAATCCTGACCCATAAGCACACGGTTGGCTCCTCATCCATCCCCAGGTGGAGCTCCATGCACTCCAGCTGGTCACTGATATAGAGGGCAACACCCCCTCCTCATCTCCCCTGCCTGTCCTTCCTAAAAAGCCTGTATCCTTCCGTTCCAACAGTCCAGTCATAGGGCCATCCCACCACATCTCTGTGATGCCAATAAGATCATAGCCCTGGCCATGCGTGTGCACGTCTCTAACTCCTCTGTTGCTCTCCTGCTGACCTGTGATCCTTCTCCAGGCTCTGGGCATCTATTGCTGGCACTGGCATCAAACTGGTAGGAGTGGGATGGATTAAGGTTCCCCTCCCCCAGCAACTTTAGTTTAAAGCCCTCTTCATGTGCATAAAAAGTTCATGTGCATAAAATTAACAGGAGAAAATTCTAAAGCCTGCTAATGCTACTTAACAGCAAAAGTAAAAATATAAACTGGGGCATTACATCCAGATCCCATATAACTGAATGTGGACCTATATTTGAAAAGGGTAAGACACTTTCAGAATATTAATGGTTTGTGCTTACTACATTGAGGATTCCTCAATTAAAAAAAATTATCTAAAAATGCTGACAGCCATTGCATTCAGAAAAAAATGCAAAATTATATTAAGTAGACACTCACTGGTCCAAAAGAACTACAGTAGCTTCCTTTCACATCTAATTATTCTGTTTGATGACACAGCTGCATTACAAGTACTACTTTAGCATGAAAGGACTGAATTCCTTTTCTTGCAACAAGAGAATATCCTACCCCCACGTTCGGCAGTACTCTCTGTTGAGTAACTCCACTAAATGCTGCTGTGGCATTATAGCATGAAGTGACCATATACATAAGAAATATCCCAAACTTTACAGGACAATGAGAAAACACAGCTAACGGAGGCAGCCAGTATAACTCACAAATCCCAAGGGAACATGTGCTGGGACTGGGGAGTGCTGC